ACCACCATGGAAAACGTGGAAGTCCTAATATGGGACTCCTCATAGTCAATCAAAATATATACTACTTAGTAAATGTACAGTAGTATTCTTTTTCTAATCTTATACTTTAAATATAAGTGGTAAATATAATAATAATAGTAAGAACTTGGTAAGTTAAATTCTCAACAGTGTGTGTCCACGACAATGCACACCAGCTCAGTGGTCTAGAGATTGAGCGTTCACTCGCGTGACCAAAGGTTCTGGGTTTAAATCCTAAATGCAGGATCGTGGATGCGCACTACTGAGGAGTCTCATGTTAGGATTAAACGGCTGTCCAGTGATTCCAGGTTTTCCATGGTGGTCTAGCCTAAGTCAACTCAAATTCAACTATTATTACAATCTCCACAAAACTGCGTTTTGATGAAAATAATAATAATAATATTTATTAAAATATAAAACAATAAAGAAAATTCTTGTAATCACATTTTGACGGAGTTGTGTGCTCTGAGCTGGATAGTTTGGTCGTGGAGATTTCATCGTTCTTCTGAACGACACCATCAGCACAAACTTCAAGTACAAGTAAGGTGTTCGAATTTCTCCATATATGGTTCACAGCTTGTCCTGTAGACTTCGACGTGGACTGGTTCTTGTTGACCTTAAATAATGAAAGCTCTATGATCAAACCATCCTTAAATGATTAAGTCTATAGGTGATAGGTTTTCATTGTTTTTTTTCTAAGAGCTTCACCAGAAAGCTATTTACTATCGTATATGTAACTACCAATTACTGAACTGCTTGTGTTGAAATTTTATAGATCTTTATAGGGAGAATTTCTATTTGACTCAGTGTGGTACTCCACTGTTGAAGAATTTTAAGAATAGGACGGAAAAGCTGTTCATTATTCTTTGAAAACCTTCACTAAACCACCTTTTTCAAAACATCATTACATTAAAAGTATGCAAAATATTGATGGATACTTCAGTACTGTCAATTATGAAGCAGTTATCTACTTATGAAATTTCAAGATGGTTCCATAGTACAGCAAACTGACCATCGTTTAATATATAAACTATTAGATGCTGGGTCTAAAGGTTAAGAACTGGCTGTAAGACCTGAAAGTCTTCGATTCGACCGCCAGTGAGGTTTTTAGTTCATACGGATAAGGAGTCCTGATGTAACTCTCTTATGCTTTCCGGTTTTCAATGGTTGTTTAACTAAGTTCAACCTATGATGTTTAATACAAAGTTTCCTAATATGTTTGATTTAATCACATTTAACATGGAATGTATCAAGTGCTATGTATTTCTAATTTCGTTTAGTTTTTGTGGTGAAACTCGAAATAATGTACGGCATAGTGTATGCCAAAGTAATCATTGCTTATTCTTAAACTTTGAAATAAGAAGATAAAATCTCTAGTTGTCACAGTGAGAGGTACTAAGTTCCAATCTAACTAAAAACATCAACTGGGATTCATAGAATTTTGAATGACGAGTTTGGAGGAAAACAAAACACTTATCTTGAATTACAGCGCTTAAAAATATAGTAAAATGGTCAAGTGATTTTTAGGTATCGTTATCTTACTAACTTACGCCTGTTACTCCCAGTGGAGAGTAGACCGCTGACCAACATTCTACAATCCACAATGTCTTGGGGATTCTTTTCTAGTTCCATCCAATTATTGTTTATTTTTCTCATGTCTATTTCCATTTCTCGGCGTAATGTGTTCTTTGGTCTTCCTCTTTTCCTTTGGCCTTGAGGATTTCATGTGAGGGCTTGCCCAGTGACGCAGTTGAGTACTATCCTCAATGTGTGTCCTATCCACTTCCAGCACTTCTTCCTGATTTCTTCCTACATTGGAATCTGATTTGTTGTCTCCCACAGTAGGTTGTTGCTGATAGTGTCCGCCCAACGGATCCAAAGTATTTTACGTAGACAACTGTTAATAAACACTTGTATCTTCTAGATGATGGCTTTCGTAGTTCTCCAGGTTTCCGCCCCATACAGTAGAACTGTCTTGACATTTGTATTGAAAATTCTGACCTTGGTGTTGGTTGACAGTTGCTTTGAGTTCTAAATGTTCTTCAGTTGTAAACATGTTGCTTTTACTTTGCCGATTTGTGATTCATGAATTCACGTTAAATTATTTATGTTATTAAATGAAAGTTTACAATGTCTACTACCGTGTATAGTGTTAGTTCGATCATATACATACCATATGCAGGATGCATATTTAATACACTAGATCTTTCTTTTTAGTAAAGGCTTTCAAGTAAACTGATGTGAAATGGATAACTCCTGTCAACTAAAGAATAATAGAAAGTCGTTTATATTTCAGTTTAGCATATATCAACACTACTCACCTCCCAATTTAGTAAAGAATTTCCATATCTTGCATTGGTTACGATGCCTTAAGTTCACTCAATTAAAATTTTGATGGTTTACATTTTCTAACTTCAATCTATACATAATATAACGTAATCTTGATCTTATCTCATCAATGACATACTTTTTCATTATTGACTTAGTTAATTTGATCTGTCATGGACTCTTATCAAAACTTTAGGAAATTCCGTTAGGATCTAGTTATTGATAGACTTGGAATGATTATTTACTCAGGTTTACAAACTGCAACTAAAAATGGTAATTAGAACTTTCGGCTTCGCAAGCAAATGCCTAATCTCTAGAACACTAAACTATAAGTCTAACTTGATTCATAATGAAGTATGATTACGCAATACTAAGAATTGATTGAATTTAGACTTGGTCATCATTCGATCACAGATCAATGGTATAAAGATTTAGTGTTTACCGGTGAAACTTAAGTTTATAATTTCCATTACCGATTAAGGAGTCGTGGATACACACTACTGAGGGATCTCATGCTTACAGTCTAACACGGATCAATTCAATTCAACAATCTCCCATAGTGAATTCATACAGTCACCCTTCTTTAAAATACAGAAATATGTCTGATGCCTTTAAAATATTGAATGACTACTAAGGAATGCGCATCCACGATCCCGTCTCGCGAGATTCTAACTCACGACCGGTAGGCTCTGGTTCGCACGTGAAACCGATAGATCCTGGGATCGGATCTCGCAGGAGGGGCGGGATCGTGGATACACATTGCTGAGGAGTCCCACACTAGAAAAAAATGGCCGTCCAGTGCTTCCAGGTTTTCCATGGTGATCTAACTTCAACTGACTGTACATAAGCTTTTCATCTGCATACCGATTGAACCGACCCATCTGACTATATGTTTGATTTTCAAGGAGTGATGGGAATTGACTAGATGCTACAACAATAAGTTTTTGACTGCCTTCTGTAATCTTTTGAATAACCAGGTAGGGTAATGTTCGTAGATGCGTTTCGAAAGCGCTCGCTTCATGCAGCCAATATAACCTATTTCGCATGAGCTAGTAAACTGATAGAAGAGCATTAATTTTGCCGAAGTGTACAGTTTAAGTGAGTGAAATCATTGAAAAGAATTCAATGTCTCGAGTAGTCATTCACGTTTTATTTATTGAGTAGTTATGAAGTCAATTAAAGTAGTCTATGAAATGTTTGTGTACTGATGAGAATTTTTCACCAAACGTTACTGTGTAAATTATATCTCTATTCAGAAATATAGATTTAACTCTTTTCAAGTTTGAAATCACATCATGGATATCATATTTGCATGAGATTATAATTTATGGACGAACCAATCAGATCTACGATAACAGGTCTTGGATTTCGGTGCCAAATTCATTCATCCGTTTGACTAAATAGGGTCTTGGAAATTTAGCTGGTGTCAGTTCGTGATGAAAACCCTAAATATAATCCCTATCCTTAACCATCACCTGTAAATAAAAATCCTTATCCTCCACACTGCTTTATAACCCTCATTTAGCCCTAGTCAGTAGGTAGACATTGTCAAGGCCACTTTGACGTCGCTCAAGGGTCATCCATAAATAATGAGCTCATCGAAACCACTTTATTGATTGTAAGCAATTTTTATCAGTTGATTAGTTAATGACAATTTATGTTTAACTAACCGAGTTTGGAACAAAGAGTATAACAATATTGGTGTAATAAGTAGAGATGGATGATGGTTAGCAGTGGAATTCAGGACACACGTTCCATTCTATTTGGGACCCATCAGGTGGATGTACCTGTATTCCAGTTTAGATGCTCACGTCGTGACTCGAACCCATTATCGTTCGATTCAAACACTATCATTTTATTCACTTAGCTACTGAGTCCAAATAGGCGCTAGCAACCAATACAGAATGAATTATTACTGGCGTGACATTCAAGGATTCAGCGAAATTAAAGATGAATATTCTCGAACAATAATTTCTATTGTATGACGATACCTTACAGCTGAAAAATGATTTTGGATCAAAACCAGTTTTACGAAAACACTCACTTTCAGCAAGTACATATACACTGTATTCAAGTCCCAAAGTGAATATCAACTTTGAGATACAGGTACATCCAGCTGACCAGTCCCAAATAGGACGAAATGGGCATCTTGAATTCCACTGCTAGCCACTATCAATCTTTGCATATAAGCATAAAATTTACGAAAAACTATCCAATTGTTAAAATTACTATAATTTCCACAAAACCCCAACAGATACTAATCAACATATGTTCACTAATGACTGACTTCATCAGGTTTTTCCTGAAGTTCTAGTGAGAAGCCGTGACCAGTGGAGTTTAACCAGGTCTTTTGTGAGATAGTAACTCTCTGAAGAAAATGGTAAATATGTCGCTGAACTTTGTAGATTGGTTGATATTAGATAATTAACTCCGATAGATGTTAGCTCACTAGTCAAGTGGCGAAGCGCTTGAGTGCAAGACTGATAGGTCCTCGATTCAAATCCTACGAGGCAGGATCGTGGATGCCCATTGCTGAGGAGTCCCACAATAAAACGAAACGGCCCTCCACTTCAACTGACTCATGATCACAACTATTCAAATTACTATTTACTTTCATTTATTTTAATCTATTTATTTTTCTTCTTTATTACTAGGTCAAAATTTCTATTATTTTTATCTATACTACTTATTATTGATCCAATACAATTAGTCAATTCACGTTATATTGATAATACATTATTACGTAGTGTATTAAATTGTTATGTGGATTGTATACAAAATTCAACAAATGATATACAAGATAATAATTATTGTTATAATGAATGTTTTAATAATCCAAATGAAAAACGTGGTAAATTTTTCATGTTAGGATAATGAATGAATAAAGAAGATAATGAAGAATACAAATGACACATTAAACTACTAATTATGTAGATCAGTAGTATATGTATAATTCAATGAATTGAATTGAATCAAAATGATGAAAATCTATTACATTTATTGAAATATATATATAGATTTATATATTCAGATAACTTTTTTCCTAATATGTGTTCGAACACGGGACAGATAGATCCTGGGTTCGAATTGTACGGGGCAGGATCGTCGATATGCATTGTTGAAGAGTTGTATATTAGGATGATATGGCCGTCCAATGATTCTATGTTTTCTTTAGTGTTCTAGGTTTAATTGACTCATGAATTCAATTAATAAATTACTACAATCTTCTCAAAACCCTTCTCTAGTTATAATGTTTATATCGACTATGTATTCTAGTGAATTAAAGATTACAAATAGTTCATTGAAGGCATAATTCTTTTCAATCATGGTTTAATTGGTTATGCTTGTTACCCCCAATGGTGCATAGGCTGTCGACCAGTATTCTCCAATCTACTCTGTCCTGAGCCTTCCTTTCTAATTCCATCCAATTCTTGTTCATTCTTCTCATGTTTATATACATTTCTCGGCGTAATGTGATCTTTCGTCTTCCTCTTCTTCTCCTTTGGCCTTGAGGGTTTCAAGTGAGAGCTTGCCTTATGAAGCAGTAGAGTACTATCCTGAATGTGTGTCCTATCCACTTCCAGCACTCCCTCCTGATTTATTCCTTCGCTCAAATTTGGTTTGTTCTCTCTCGGACTGAGGGCGCGTTTCAAAAAGGACAGTGATTTTGTACTTGTTGTGATTATCCTTGCTTTTGTGTAATTGTTGCATCAAAAGCATTCTTGGTCTACTTTATATTAAAGTACTTTAGTTAACTTTTGTAGTCATGCTAAAGTTTGCCTTGTGGTACTCTTTTACTCATTGACTGACACTTGTGTTCATATTGTGTTTTAACTCTTAATCTGACTACAATGGTTGGTAGTACTCATAAATGTGTACAACCAAACTGTTTGTTCCCTGTTGAGAAAGGAATGAAGTGTGATGAATGCAAAAAGTGGTCCCATAAGATGTGTACCCGTTTAAGTCCCACCGCATACAAAAGATGCTCGAAGCCTAACTCGCATTGGCTTCGCATGTTTTTCTGTGCAAATAAGACGTTACCAATACATGAGGCTATAAGCCTATTGGCTTTGGCCTGTAAGAAGAACGATGGCGCATACGCTGATAACACGAGCACTAACAGTGAAGAATGGGTCAGTGTAGCACGTACTGTTACGAGACGCCTCAAACACCCGACTGTGACTGACAGAAAAGTGAAATCTCCGTTAACATTAACGAGGGGGAAGTACTACCTGACACTGACAATGGTAATCATGCACCTCTAGTGGGGATTGAAGATCTTGATAAAACCTTCACCGTTCCTAATAGTTCCGGTGCCCTGAGGGATGAAAAATGGAGTCGAAAAATGCACTAACAAAATCTGATAGTAAGAGAGAAACCCACCCTGGCGTGACTGAGAAGGAGAATCTAATCTCATCGAATATTATTGTGAACAAATTGCTGGAGTCAAAAGACTCTGATCTCAAATTTAGACACGCACATGATTTGGAGAAGCTGGGAGAATATATTCTTAGTATCTTACCGGATAACTTTAAAGGAGTTCAGGTCAAAAACTGGTTAGAATAGGCAAGAGGATAGAGGACACTGTTGAACCCCGACCATGCAGACTCCTTGAGGTAATCCTAGGATCGGAGAAGCAACGGGATCTCTTGTTAAGTAGCGCTCATAGTCACGACAATTCCAACATCCGAGTTAGACCTCATATGTACCTCGAAGACAGAATAAAAAGGAAGAAAGCACTAGGTGAACTAGAAACCCGTCAGCAAAACGGTGAGTAAAATCTCCGGTTAGTGGGTTTGCGGATAGTCAGGTCTTGGAAGCGAATGCTACCTGTGTCGATAAGCCGTTCTACCTAGGAGTTCTATATGCTAACGCTCGAAGTTTAAGAAATAAGTTCTATGAACCAGAAGCACTAGTGGACAAATTAAGGCCACTCATTGTAGCAGTGACAGAAACTTGGTTAGTCCATGACTTAGACATTACTCCAGAATTTTCCGAATACCAGTACCTAAGGAGTGATAGACATAGATGTAGAAAAGGAGGTGGCATCCTGTTATATATAACTAATAACATAAATATCCGCTCCCCTGATAGCGAATCCCATAATAGCGGTACTTGTGAAATCATTAGCTGTGAATTGGCTATCGGATGTGGTACATTTATGCTAGGTGTCATATATCGCAGCCTAATCTGTTTATCTGATGACTTTATTTTAGAGCACATCTAGCTTTGGAGTGCAAATAACAGATGCTTGATAATAGGAGACTTTAATGCACCTGATATTAGTTGGACTGAGATGACCACAGAAGGATCTATAAACTCCTTTAATAGTAGGTTCCTAGTAACAATAATGGAGCATGCACTAGTGCAGCATGTATCCAAACCCACACGCTTTGGTGCTAACCAAGGTTCTTCTATGTTGGACTTGATAATCACTCATGAGACTGAGGATATTGTCGACTTAAATATTCTTCCACCGTTAGTGAACAGCGATCACGCTGTTTTATCATTCACGTTTAGAACTAGGGACATGTTATACGATCAGGTTAAACCCCGACCAAATGTATGAAAAGCTAATATATCAGCCATTCAGGAATGCGCTGCTAAGACAGATTGGTTTGTAAATACTAGCTTATCAGTTGAAGAAGCATGGTCTGTATTTAAAGGTATGTTTAGCTTAGCTACGTCCTCGTTCATACCATACCTGGTACCGCGAAGACCGAATAACAGTCCACCATGGATAACTAAAACAGTCAGAAAACTTGTTAGAAAAAGGAAGAAGCACCGGAATGTTTGTCTCCACTGGCTTAGAACAATACAAGTCCAGTTATTGTAAGATTCGGAATGCCAGTAAAGCGTTAATAAGTGAGACTAGACGATCATATGAAAAAAAATTAGTTAGGGATTCTAGATATAGTCCGAAACGGTTATTCTCGTATTCAAAAAGGCGAACTCAGAGAAGCTATGGAATTCCATCACTTTTTATACAAGAAAATCTGTTAATCTTGGCAGAAAATGATTCCGAAAAAGCTGAAGCTTTATCGGAATATTTTAGTAAAGTGTTTTCTATCGGTAATGAGGAACGACCAACGATTCATCGCGACCGTGACGGCTCGCTGATGGATCCTGTAGTCATTGAGAAAGGTATTGTTTTAAGGCTACTTCAGCATCTCAAACCTGATAAGTCCAGTGGTCCTGATGATATTCATCCTAGGATTATGAAAACCATATCAGATGTAATTGCTGAACCATTAGCGATACTGTTTAACATGTCTCTGAAGCAGTCCAGACTGCCCAGAAACTGGAAAGACGCTATAATAAGTCCGATGTATAAGGCTGGGAGTAGGGATTTAGTCATTAACTATAGGCCCGTTAGCTTAACTACTGCAGTTGTAAAACTGATGAAAAAAATCATTCGGATATCTGTTATAAACTATGTTGAAGGGCATAATCTTTTCTTAAGGTAAAAACATGGTTTTCAGAGAGGCCTATCATGCTCGACAAATCTTCTCATTACAAGAGAAGATTGGGCTGCTGCGAAGGATCAGAATATTCCTGTGGATGTCATCTTCATAGATCTAAATAAGGCCTTCAATAAATTCTCCCACTCTGGTCTTAAATTTAAACTGGAACGTTTTATAATCCACTATACAGTCGTAGATTGGATAAGCGACTTTCTCTATGACAGAGGACAAAGGGTAAGAATTAATGGAGCCCTCTTCTCGTGGGTAGCTGTAAAAAGTGGAGTTCCCCAGGGTACAATCCTCGGTCCTCTTCTCTTTTTACTTTATGTTAACGGATTACCAACTGTAGCAGAATCATCCGTTCTACTCTTCGCTGATGACATTAAAATTTAGAGACCCATAAACAGTATGTCGGATAGAATAGTATTACAGGACGATCTTAGCTCATTGATGGAATGGTTGGACAGGTGGTCGCTAGTAGTAAATCCTAATAAAAGTGTAGTGATGCAAATAAACAACTATGATGAATCTTATCACTACAAAATATATGGGTTCGTGCTACCCAATGTAAGAAACTATAAAGATTTAGGAGTCATATTAAGCAGTGATCTCAAAACCACTAGTCACTCTAAGACTGCTGCTGCAAAAGGCTATAGGGTATTATGGTCTATCAGTAGGTCTTTTTTCAGTATTTAGATGATGAAATGTTTAAATTATTATACCCGATTTAGAATATGGGATTCAAGCAGCGAGTCCCTGTTTCAAGTATGAAGTAGATATGCTGGAAAGAGTTCAACGACGAGCTACTAAGATGGTAAAAGGTCTATCTGACCTATCTCATGAAGACAGACTGAGACACTTTAACTTATTTCCGTTATCTTACCGTAGAATACGGGATGATCTAATATCGGCTTATCGTATACTGGACGATGACCTTGGTATTAATATATCTCATCTTTTCCTTTCATCTACGACTGATCATTTGAAAGGACATTCGAAGATAGTTCAAAAACCGAGATCAACTCTTCTACGTCTGGAGTTTTGTTTCTCGCACCGAGTAGTGAATTACTGGAATTCTCTATTGGAAGACGTAATATCAGCACCCTCTGTTAATATATTCAAAACGTAGTTTTGAATAATTAATAAAATCAATTTCATTCAACTTAATTTCACTACTGATTTATACATCCCTCTTTCTAAAACGAAAAAAAAACAAAAAAAAATAAAAAAAAGCAAAAAAACGAAAAAAATAAAAAAACGAAAAAAACGTTCAAGGTTAAATTTTGTTTATTCAAGGTTTTGTTTATTCATTTATCACTTAATTTAAAAATTTTACCCCCCCCCCGCTTTATAGAATGTATTTTATTAGTACAGATTAGCATTGTTTCAGTCAACAATATAAAAACAAAAAATTGGTTCATTATTACCAAGGGATTATTATTGATTAATTAACCAAAGATTATTAACAAGGAATGAATCAATTAAAGAAATTTCTTTTCTATTAGGGTTTTATCACAGCTTTTGATGATCATTGTTCTAGCTGAATATCTTAACAGATGTCTATAT